AAAAAAGTGAAAAAAAAAAAAACAACCCGGGGGGGGGGGGGAACCAGTGCAGAGGGAATGCGTACGACTGCAGAGTCAGTCCTTAAGGCATGATTTGTCAGAATTCTCTGGAGCAAGCTGCCAGTGCAGAAAGAGCCAATATTTGGCTGATTCCTAGCCAGCCGCCTGGAATGCAGGAGCCACCAGCTTATCCTACGCCCGACGACACTGTTGCGATCCTATAAACTTGAAGCCACTGGATCTGACCTTGTCAGGAGCCACGAGGAGTACGTTGCCGAGACCTCTGACTGCCATCTGGCGGATGCTGGGATGCTGGTCCCCTGCCCTCTCTAGCAGGATGGGGAAGATGGTCTTGAGTTGTTCTCTTTCGGATACTGTGGGCTGCCTGATTGCCTGCCGGAGGACCACATGTTCATTATATGACTCGGCTCTGCACCTCCATCACTTAAACTGCTGATCTCGTGCAGGGATGAAGTAATACTAACAAAGCACACAGTTTGTGGCTTTTGTCTGGCAGTGAGGAGGCAGTGAAACGGAATCTTCTGATCGCCACGCCCAGGGGTCATTTTGTAGAAAAAGAGTTGCAGGAGCTCATTAGCATAACTCATTGGCATAACTCATTTGCATATGCCACACCCCCTGACATCACCAGAAGTGTGGCAGAAGGCAACACCCACTGCTCAGCCTCCACTGGACTGTTCTGGATTGCTAGCTATTGGGGGGGACGGGGACGTGCAGATCTGCCCTCACAGAGGAGGAAGAGCTTGTACCTGAATAAAACTTGGTCTTAAAGGTGCCACTGGACTGTTTTGGACTGGGGAGCTGGGGGGGGGGTGTTTCTGCAACTTACCTGGCTGCTTCTTGCTCTGACTGAGGGCTGCCTAGTGATAGAGCCGGCTGCCTAGTGATAGACCCTAGTTTGCCTAGTGATAGAGCCGGCCCTGATTCTGGCCCTGCTGGTGGACCTCCTGGTGGCCCCTGGGTTTTGGCCACTGTGTGACACAGAGTGTTGGAATAGATGGGCCACTGGCCTGATCCAACATGGCTTCTCTTATGCTAGTATGTTCTTATGTCCAGCCTTCAAAGTTCCACCTCTTACCTCCACAAAGAAGGCAGTGCTGGTTAGACGCAGATTTTTGGACCCTGAATTCATCCAAGACAGGACATGTTCAATGATCTCCTTGTCAAGAAGGCCTCTCTGAACCAAATGACTGAAACAGAAAAGGGAATGATGGTGGAAGAATAATGGAAGAAGATGTTGACATCAATGTTCCCTCTAAGCTGTGGAGTCTTGTGAGCAAAAATTTTACTTTGTGAGCGACTGGCATTAAAGTTGTGAGCGGGTGATTCGGCTACTGCATAGATCAGTTGGCTCCGGAGCCATCCTTCCTGAGCTAAGACAGAAATGTGTGAGCTGGAGGCTAAAAAATTGTGAGCTATCTCACACTAACTCAGCTTAGAGGGAACACTGGTTGACATCCACAATTGCCTGGATGGGGATCAGGTAGCAATAACAATGCTAAGTCACTAACAATGCTTTTTACTGAAGAAGGTCTTCAATGTTGAAAAGCATCAAGTGAAGCAAGACAATAAATTGTTAATACTTCAAGTGGAAAAATCAAATCTAATTCTCCGATTTCAGGGATTGAGAGAAGAAGATGGAGAGGACCTGAGAGACATTTTGGCAGTAGCTCTAGCACCACTGACTGGCAACGAAGCGGGAAAAATAAAAGAAGAAATGGATATGGTCTATAGGGCCTACTCCAATTTCACAAGAAAAAATAAGTTGCCAGCAGAAGTGGTTGTGAAATTTACAAAACAACGTCTCAGGGACCAGATTTTAAAGGTTACATCAGCGTCACCACTGAAAATTGGAGACCAACAGATCAGGATTTTGAAAGATGTCCCATTTGAAATCAGAATGAAAAGAAAGGCCAGTGGCCCATCTATTCCAACACTCTGTGTCACACAGTGGCCAAAACCCAGGGGCCCATCTATTCCAACACTCTGTGTCACACAGTGGCCAAAACCCAGGGGCCACCAGGAGGTCCACCAGCAGGGCCAGAATCAGGGCCGGCTCTATCACTAGGCAAACTAGAAGCTCAAAAAATATATATTCCGCAGGTTAGGAAAGGCACAAAAAGGTATAGGAAAAAGCCTGCATGGTTAACAAACAGAGTAATGGAGGCTGTAAAAAGTAAAAAGAATTCCTTTAAGCAGTGGAAAGCTAGTCACAGTGAGGCTGATAAAACGGAACACAGGCTATGGCAAATAAAATGCAAGTCTGAGGTCAGGCAGGCAAAAAGGGAATATGAGGAGCATATAGCAAAAAACGTAAAAACCAACAATAAAACTTTCTTCAAATACATTAGAAACAGGAAACCAGCCAGGGAGGCAGTGGGGCCCTTGGACGACCAAGGGGTAAAAGGAGTATTGAAGG